CTTTGGACATTGCTAAAGTAGAATTGCTAAATATAACGATAATTAAACAAATAAAACACAAAATAATAATCATGAGGAGAAACTACAGCAAGAAAACACACAAGAAAAGGTAAAATCAGTAATATGAACATATTAAAAAATGTATAATTTAAATGACGACTGCATGTTGTTCAGTGTTGGAGAGTGCTGTTTGATGTGGAGGGTTTCTTTAATCAATAATTCCAGGTCAGTATTAGACTTGCAGAGGATAGAAAAATTTGATAGTATAGGTTGATGTCCTGTTTCTTCACTATGTTGGCGTATAGAGGAAACACAGGGGTTACTCAATTTTTTTTGCATTTTGATAAAAATTCCCATATGTTCATAGGCTCTGAATTTTAAATGGCATTTGGTTTTGCCAATATAGGAGGCCTTACAGTCTCCACATGTGTAAAGATAGACAAGCCAGGAACAATAAGGAATGGGGAGGAGATCTTTAGTAGGGAAAAATTTTTTTATGCTTGATGTGGATTTAAAAAGTAATCTGAAATCCACTTGAGGGTAGTAATGACCAAGTATGCGTTTAAGTTAATTTTTTACATTTAAGCTTTGTTTGCCAGTATGGGGAAGACACGAGTATATAGTAAGTTTGGGTACTCTTGGTATCTTAATTGGATTTGTGAGTTTCTTTGTTAGGAAGGTGTTGGTAATATCTTCTAATAAGTGTTGTGGGTATTTGTTTAATTATCATTGTATTTAGCAATTGTACTATAGCAATGTCCAAAGACTTGTGTAAATTCATTTTATTTTGCTTTAGATACTGAAGATGGAATCTGATAGAATTCCGAAATGTTTATCTATGTCCCCTTTTTGTTAATAAACAATGTTGTATATCATAAGTATCGAAAACATGGATATAGTTATGAGTGTTAACAACTAAAGTAACAATGTATTTGTTTTTGAAAAATAGCTTGAAAACTTGTTTTCTCAGAATAATATCTTCAACATTTTGAGCAGTTATAGTCGACAGTTGAGGTATTACATGTGACATAATATCTCATGTTTTTGTGATTCATTGGATAACTCTTACATTCTTATAGGTAGCATTCAGAGTAGGTGTTGAAACAAGGTTGGATGAAAGAGTCTTTGCAATGGAGCAGATGAAGTGTTTGCCATTAAGCTACTTGATGACACACATCTACCCTCGAATGTACCCTGTACATGCGTTGGATGATAATGTAAGATATTTCTAGTAAATTATGCTAACTTATACCTTGTAATGGGAAGACTGGAAACCTGTAAAGTTATAAGCATATAGGTACACATTAATTATTGTAAGTGTGAGAATAAAGAAAATCATTGAACTGGGAGTGTAAGATCCAGAGTTATTTCTGGCATTAAGTAGTTAGAGAGCAAACATTAAAAGGGAAGCAGTTAATTTTTTATTCTTCTATTTGTGCCCTTATAAGTTTCAGAACAGTGCATTATTTAATACTCATTTCATTTTCCACAGACTGCTTTGTGTAGTAGTGAAAGATTCAGATGATTATTCATGACATTCACCCTGAAATTTCAAATTTCATGGTGTTCCTTTGTTACACATTCAGTTAGTCAGTAACGGGGTTTAGTGAGAAATGTTGATATAATCACTTTTCAGTTGTGTTTAATATAAAATATAAGGAACTTATTCTTTGGAAGCAGTGCAAGGTAGAGTCAATTACTTACTGACGGCAGTGCAAGGTAGAGTCGATTACTTACTGACGGCAGTGCAAGGTAGAGTCGATTACTTACTGACGGCAGTGCAAGGTAGAGTCGATTACTTACTGACGGCAGTGCAAGGTAGAGTCGGTTACTTACTGACGGCAGTGCAAGGTAGAGTCGGTTACTTACTGACGGCAGTGCAAGGTAGAGTCGGTTACTTACTGACGGCAGTGCAAGGTAGAGTCGATTACTTACTGACGGCAGTGCAGTCGATTACTTACTGACGGCAGTGCAGTCGATTACTTACTGAAGGCAGTGCAGTCGATTACTTACTGACGGCAGTGCAGTCGATTACTTACTGACGGCAGTGCAGTCGATTACTTACTGACGGCAGTGCAGAGTCGATTACTTACTGACGGCAGTGCAGAGTCGATTACTTACTGACGGCAGTGCAGAGTCGATTACTTACTGACGGCAGTGCAGAGTCGATTACTCAAAGGAACCAGTGTATACATGTGAATGTTTTGAAATTGAAATGGACAGTTTATGTACCCTGATTTTGGAATATTTTTTAACCTTCACATACATCATTTTAGTTGTAAAAAGTAAGGGAACTTCATCTTTTCTGTTTGTTTATAGAATGCCATTTCTACTGATGATGGAGTAACAGTATCACAGCCTCCTGTTCTACAGCTGACAATTGAAAAACTAGATTATACAGGAGCATATCTTTTGGATGCAGTATCCTGTATGTATCTTTATATTGGACGAGGAATCAGTGGTCATTTTTGTTCTTCTGTTTTAGGAGTTTCAACATTTGCAGCCATTCAGGAAGGAATGGTAAGCTGAAAATATATTGTTTAACAAGAAGCAGTCTTTTCAATCAATACAATGTCATGTACAGAGGTTCTGAAAAATGTGTTTTCTAATTTGTGGCAACAGCTGAAATAGTAAAAACTGTGCATGCAAGCTTCCCACTCACTCCTATTCAGATGGTCTGTTCAGAGTACACAGTTGATTTGTTTCTTATATATTTTACATAAGCTAAAAAAACATCATTTTGTGAAAACGATGTTATCACTATCCGTTGAAATTAGCTTTTTAACAGACATCTGGTGTTCCTTTAAAAAAGCTTAAGTACAGTGTGAAACAGGAATTACCAGCCAGTAACAGATGAACATTAGATGAGTGTAACATAGATACTCAGTGCTTTGTACACTATACAAATGGAGACTTTAGGTAGCTAACCTCTATATTATGTATGAAGTGAAGGAGTAAGAAAAATTATCACAATGCATAATATTAAATTTTATTACATACATTCATAAGATAATTAATTTAAAGGACACAAAGGTTTATTTAAAGTGATGTTTGTGACGTATGTATTTTATTTGAAAAGATTGCTTTTCGACTTAGTGGGGGTTGTGTTGTCATCTAAGCATATATTTATCCATATAATTTAGTTGTACAAAAACCATAAATGCTCATTATATTCTCAAACAAATCTTCATGACAATCTCCAGCTGCAGCTTAACATTTTACATCTCGTACTAATGCGGTCAAATAGTCAATAGGTACAGTAAATCATCACAAACCATATCAGCTAGCTTCTAGCTATTTATATTATCATTACAATGTATCAAGTTAGCTACCATATCAAGTAATCCTTTGCCCATGGTTGAGCATAATAAAAGCCAGCAAACAAGATAAATAAAAAATTGGAAATTCAAAACCTTCAAATAGGGATCGTAAAAATAAAAAATAAAATAAGGAAACAAGGTTGATGATACCATAGACATTATTTACTCAAACTATAAATACCTATTTTGACTCCACCAAATGTAATTCTAGGTGATAGCATGGAGCCAAAATAGGGGGTTTGTAGTTTGAGTAAATAATGTCTACAGTATCTCCAGCCTTGTTTCCTTAATTTTTTCATGATCTCTATTTGTAGGTTTTTAAATTCCCAATTTTTTATTTATCTTGTACGTAAAAATTCCCAATTTTGTGTTCATGCGACCTCTCACATTATAACTAAAACTTTTTTCTTTTAATTGGTTTTGTGAAATATTTTTATAATAGTAAAAATTTAGTCCTTATGTGAGTAGGTTTTTGTTAGTTTAGAAATACTCAATTTGTGTATTTCATATAAATATATATAGACTTGTTTAAAAAAAACACCATTATTGACATATTTTACAATGTAGTTCTAAGGAGTGAGTAAGGAGAATGTATATGTGTATGTTCATATTTATATGTACACATATTATTGCAAGAGATGATGCCAAAAACTTTGTTCTGTAAAACACTTTAAAAGAAAAAGGATAAACCAAATTTAGACTGTTTGAAGGCTAGTTTCAGAGAAGCAATTAAAATAAAAGGTCATAAACAGTGAAGTGACCAACTTGTGTGAACAAAAAAGAAAGAAAAAAAAAAGAGAATAGTGGGGACCTAGGATTACATGTGTTTACTTGGGATTACTACTGATTGCATTATTGTTTAATAGCTGTGAGTGCAAAAGTGCATTTTAATTCAATCTTTATATGGAAGACTTTTTTTAATTTTGAAGTTTTAAGAAAAATTCAGCACAGTATTTAATTAAGATGTACTTAATTACTGTGGAGAATCGTGTTTCATAAATTCACTAGAATTATCAAAGAAAAGCAGTAATATTTAGTACATGCAGAAGAATTGTAAATGGACTATAAAAACAAGAGTTTTTCCAATTTAATGTTGAAGAGGACTTGGGATGGTTAGTCATCTTAAACCTCACTAACCGTCCTTGTAGATTTGTCAACTTTGTTTCTTTTCATAACACTTTTTATTCTCCTTTTGTTTAGTCTTTCATCATATTTTGTCGAAGTAGCATAGCTTGACAGTAAGTGACTTTTTTTTTTTAGGAAAATATCGGTAATTTTAGGAAGACTATAAGGGTGGAAGTGTTTCATTAAACCAACTTCAGAACAGTATATTGGATATTAAGTTATTCATACAATATTCTCATTTTATGTTTTTTATTTGCATTTAATTAATGTTTAAAGTAAAAGAGTTCACTGCTTTTATTTATTTTTGTTAGCTATTGCATCTTTGGAATTATTATTTTTTATTAGATTGGGTTGCCGGAGCTTGACACACCAGAGTCAGTTAGACTTAGATACTTTGTAGCTTGGCTTCTTTCTCAGCGACCATTCCATAGTCCACTATTAATACTGAGGTAATTATATTTGTTAGTTAAATGAAGAAAAATGATTTCTAAGGGTTACTCCTTGAAGAAAATGTTAGATATTCCTGTGATTATTTGTTTTTTAGAAAATAATTAGTCCTTATCTTGGATAATTGTATTGTGAGGTTGAAAATATTTTCTTGTATATGTATCTACACTGAGTGGTCACAAGTAAACAGACACCTAATTTTTCGTCATTTAACTGATTTAAGCTAACTAATTTGTGTTAACAGAGCACTATATAAATGAAAATGGTCCGCACACTAATTATTTAGTGATACAACATGTCTAGAACTCAAGGTTCTCTCGAATTGTCAGATTTTGTTAGAGGAAGGATAGTTGGTCAAGCAGATGGTGGAATAAGTCAATGACAAATTTCGCAGAATTTGGGAATCCTGCTTTCGACAGTCAACAGAATAATCGTGCAGTTCAGAAAACAACTGAGCAGCGTCCGGTTCAGCCTGGTCCATTGGAGAGGACAAAAAGGGCTGTCAAGAGGAGCATCGAAAT